TTGTTTTGTAAAAGAAAAGCGGCAAGGAAAACGACGCCTCGAAGCAACAGAATAGGAAATCGACCATGCGAACGACTCAAAATTCGTGTTTCCGCGGCCCGCGGCAAAACCAAGCGCATGCGTATACGTTATTTAGCTATGTTTACCATATATAGAATCATTGACCGCGGGCTCTCAGAGAAAAGCATGCGCAAAAATCTGACCAACCAGATGTCTTGGATACTTTTGTGTACGATATAAAGGTCAAGCTCCTAAGATCACATAAACGTGTATACTTATTGTCCACCCGGTGCACAACTATGAAAGGAAGCAAAATGTATAAGCGAATTAATAAACGCCACCAAACCCATCCCTTCGAGAAACTGTTGTTCGTAAGAAGAGTGAAATGGGAGGGGTCAATGCTTCATTTCCAAACACAACTGGTATGTGCATTCTTTGAATTTTCCAACTGGTGTTCATCCCTGGGATGTAACCAAACAACGACAGCAGTGAAACGGATTACCTTAGCTTGAAGAACGAAACTCTGATGGTCTGGAAATAAGCAAGGATAGCCGACGCATCAGTAAAAAATTTCCAGTTAACACTAGCTTGATTATTGTTATTATACTAGCCTGAGCTGAAGAGAATTTCCCGGCTTAAGGGACTTGTTGGGCTCAGTAGAACTGGAGATATCGAATTTTTTTTAAAAAATCGCAGACAGTATGATATCCCACAGGCATCAATAGCACATTGAAAACGAAAGGTGAGAAACTTCTCTAATTTCACTCTGATAAAGTATCGACTTCTGCTCGAAGAGGGGTAACCGTATTTACTCGTGTGAGTCATACAAAGACCTGACGCAAGCAATCCAAGAAATTAGCAGAACGATTGCCAGAAGTCCATCTGGGAAATTCAAATACTGCAATTCAATTACACAAATAGTTTTAAATGTGTTCGAGTTTTAACCGTTTTCCAACGCATTCTTCATCAACAGAAAAGTTTAAAATAATGAATTTTTAAGTGGCTTAAATACAGCATCGCTTCTGTTTTTCGTGCAGAACCGTTTTCATCGATCGAACGAACAAAGCCCATTGAGCAAATACTGTCGTGCGAGCCAATGTTCGTTACGCGTGATCCTTCGAAGCTCTTCGGTGTAACTTTGTACTACCAAATCTCTTTTCAAACTCAAAATTATTATGAAGGTCAGTTAAAAGCGAGAAGATTTCAGCATACGATTACATTACGATTGCTCTGGAGTTTTTTTAATTCACTGTGTTTTCTGTACATTCTCAGAAATAAGAGGCAAACTTTTTGGAAAATTTTTATCGGTCTGAATTGTACTTCTTTCACTAGAAATGACGAGTTTAATGCATACTGTCTGCCAAACATTTCTTTAAATTTGACCTCTAAGATGTTTAAGTCAATGAATATACCTAAATTTATAGGTGTAAATATGTTTCTTCCTTTTCTGACCTTTTATGAACACTTCTGATCGTGAAACAGGACACTAGGTTCCTTGTTAATTCGACTTTAATTCTAAAATGTTCTTTTTCAGAGTCAGGTGTTGCCTTGTGGTTCATCTGTAGGGTGAGTTTCTTAGGTAGATGTTGGACTAAATAAGAAAAATGGTGAACATAGTTAAGTCATTTTAAGGTTAATTTTTTTACTTATCAGCCTACAAATTTCAAATGTTTATTAGTCTGGGAATTTGAAAGGGTAAACTGTTTCTTCCACCAGCAAACATATCACCCAATATAGTTATACAATCTTTGTTGAGACATGAATATATTCTATTTATTATAGTGATACTGATGAAATACCAAGACTTTTCCTTTTACTAAAAAATCATATCTTGATTGCATGCAGTGAAGATGCTAATTTTATCTTTCACTTGTGAGGATATTGGCATCGCCATGATGACTAACATGATTATCTGTTTTCCAGCGACGGAAACTGAACCTAAGGATTGAAGTCCGTTATAATGCAGGTGAAGTCATCACGAAACAAATATGTTTGATTTATGAAAGTCCTACTTTATTGTACCATATTCTAAAATGACATAGTAACCGGTGCATACTTTGTCAATGTTTTGTGTGTGCAGGGTGGTTGACTTTTAATGCAAAGGACCAGGAAAGGGGTCGAGTTGCCTCCTGAAGAATTGACTCTTTGATCACTCAACTGTCAATTACAGAAGTCTTTCATTAAACTCTTTTGACATACCAGATTCCCAGCATCTTTTGTCTAGACTAAGTTAAATAGTCAGTGAAACTTATGAATTGTCTTTAAAGCCTCCTTAATCACATTTTTTGCATTTTGTGGAGTTTTTATACTTGACTGCACTTTTATTTAATCAACAGAAGTACCACCTCAACAAAGCTTCTATCTGGACATGCGTGAAGGGGATTTCAAATTGGAATCCTACTCCAATTATTTTGAAATGCAAGACTATTTTCCATTAATCACCAGTTTCCTTGAAAGGCATGTGGACTCGCGTGCTCGTGTCATGACAGGGTTGACATGTGTGAGCTTCTACCTTCGTGATGGGGGTAGCATTGGTGAGTGAGATTATATTTATATTCTATTTGAGTTGAAAATGTCATTTAAATGTCACTTGCTAGTCAAATCATTGTGAATTTGTCAACTGTCACATTTCTTGGGAGTTTGCAAAGCAATTCATATTTTTATCAGAGCCTTACACACCAACCTTTATTAGAGAGGGGGGAAGATAAAACTCCTACCTTGTAATTTGCACAAGCTTGGTAATTTTACATTTTGTGTTACCTCATCAAGGCAATATCACTAAAACTCTCAGACACTGTGAAGTTGACCATTATTATATAGTACATATCCACAATAAGTTTGCCTTGCAGGAGTGATTCGTTTGTAACTTCTCTTAACATCCAAACATCATCTAGGATACAGTTAATAACAATTAATGATCAAACTTATCAAGTAAAAGTTATCTTGTTTTAACACTGAATTCTTTTAACTAAATGAGGAGAATTAACCATCAGATCTTGGGAATCAAATGGTTAACAAAGGCATGGTTCTAAATCTTTCTATTAATCTTCAGGTAGTTAAATACATGTAGTGTTGTTTGTTGTATGACTTGGGCTATTTCATGTCGTTTTCGTTTGGCAGTCAGTCACTTGATGGTGAGTGATCACAATGAAGCCTGGATAAATAAAGTTGATGATCATGGAAGGAGGTCAGAATTTGTCTGTGAGAGTAACCGCGAGTCTAACTTCACCACCAAGGCAGAATTTGATCTAATAAATAATTTTGTGAGTGGTAATCGTACAGCCCCGTGGCTAGTAAGTGTTCTTTGCCTCTTTTCAGGATGGGCTGTGGTAAGGTTTGGCATGGAAAGAGTGTCACTTCATGAGATCTAACTGGAATGCTAAAGAAGTGATGTAAAAAATAATAAAGACTGAGAAGAAAAGAGGAGAGGATTTTAGAATGCTAGAGTTTGTTATTCATGGTAATTGCTGAAAGATAAGAAACAGAATGTGTATAGGGGTTAAATGTAAGTGTCAGTGCCCTGGTATTACAAGATATTTAATTTTGTAAACAAAGTTGATATGAATTGGCCAAAGTAAACCCATTTTTAACTCAGTTATGAGAATGTTGAAGATACACTTTTGATGTATTATTTTAATATTTTGTACAGAATAAATGTATGCGTTGCTGCTGCCTATTTGTGTGAATGTACTTGGATCCTCTGTAGTTAAAGAGCATGAAACAAATCAAAGGTTTGGTGAGAGCTAACTCCTTCCTCCCCATCATTAGCATTCATAATCTCCACCCTGTTCTTCTTACACTTCTTATGACACTTACAAGGAAAGTTTTTTGGAAAATGAGGAGCTTCAAATTTGATTCAAAGGTGATGCTTAGGGAGGAATTAGAAGCTAGACACTGGTAGGGTTAGGTTAACCTGTCCATGTGTGTTTGTAGCAGGTGAACTGTCATGGGTAACTTGTTGTGGGTAAGTTGGGGTAGGTAGCCCTTCAGAAGGCTGTGGAGTTACCAAAAAAAGCTGTCTGCAAAAATATTTTTTCCCTATGGGAAATAGAAGAGAGCAAGAATAGATAGAATGTAACACTTCAAAAGGTTCAAGTCCAAAATTTATGTCATCCTGCTTGAAAGGTAAGACTAAAAGATGAAATTATTACCTCATTTTTTACCCTAAGCAACTTTTATTAACATATTATGTCATAATTTTGACTGTAATCTGTATAAGAAATATTAACCTTTGCTTCGTGGGAGACTCTTGAATTGTTGTGATAAAAATTAAAGCATATCGAGATATTATACATATTCACCTATTTGTCCCAATGTTTTTGTTGGAAATCTTTTTGATTACAAAATTATATCTCGTCTCCTCACCATTCAAGTAGATATAAAAGCTGGATGGCCTGCGAGGTTCTTTGCCCACTCAGCAGCAGCACTTCATCATACTTTTGTAACCAGATATCTTGCAAATTACTTCCCATGATCTGAGAACCTGTTCTAAGGCACTTAGTGTGCCAGCTAAATGGTCATCAAATCTGTTACAAATATTTCCTATAACAGGGTAATTATGATGGAAAACCAAAATCATTTTAAAGTGTTGAAAACATCTCTTTGAAACAGTTCAAGCTATGGGACAAGAAACAACATTTGTATAAAGACAAATTTTTTTATTAGGAACAACATTTAACATAATCACATAACTTGCAGTTTGCATGGCAAACAGATAACTAAAAATAACTGAGCAATGCAAAAGGAAAGGATGTAAAAATACCAATTGTAATACTGAATACATAGTTGTGGCTTCAGGAATTCTTTTTTTTCCAACCCCTAGAGAGCCACTGATAACTGAGAGAAGAATCTCAAAGGCTAGAATTTTATAGGAAAATTTGAGTGTTCCGTGCAGCAGGAAGGTAAAACAAACAAACTTTCCATAGTGGTATTCGGTATGTTCTCAACACCATGCAATGTATAAGAGCCAATTTTCCTTCTGAATTTGTTATCAGCCTGACCCCTAACTTTTGTTCTCTTTTGTCTTAAGGGTCAGGCTGTGTGCCTTTTTTTTTTTCCAGGTTTGCATTACTTCTACTTGTGTATGAGAAGGATATCATGCTGAATTTCTCAGCACAGTTTGAAAGATTTAATAAATTGCCATCCTCAAGACATCACTGTTACTGTTGTCACAGCAACATGTCAGGATGTCCAGGTCTCATAGGACACACTGTATTCACCAACTATATTATGCAAGCCATATACCTGTCACAGCAGCCTGATGCAATCTATCACAAAATACACTAAATCTAAAAAATTCTATACAATGGACATCAAAATGTTTCACTTAATAAACTACTTTTCATGACTCTTTTATCCTGTATTTTCCTTTCAGCAGTTGCCCTATGTCCAACTTTGTTTTTGATCCATCTCCTTTTCTAACCCACACCTGAAAATCACAGACAATTACTGCTAACCAAGAAAATGTCCCAAATAAAAATGATAAATATTAACTCTTTACGCCCCATTGTAATCATAAGTTATTGTCAATGGTCTGCTGGCATTTCCATACAATAGCCATGGCGAGAATTAGTTAACAGTCAGAACCATTTTTCTTTACTGATCACTTCCTTCACTCCCATAATGATCAAGTACATGGAGATGTGGCAAGTGTTATGTAATAACAAAATTCTATCTATTTTCCCCTTGAAATGTGGGTCAACATGTATTTTATCCAATCAACAAACACTTCAAACTGTTGACTGGTTGCAAAGGAGTGGGTTTACTTAAGGCTGCCAGGTTGATGCAAGAGCTGGAGTGTTTGGGAATTGAAGCAGTCAAGTAAATGATGCATATGCAAAGACTCATGCATCTGAGCAAGACTGGGAGATCCTTTCTTGCAAGTGGCTGCTTCCCTGTCTGCCTTTGATGGTATATTAACAGCTTGGGAGAAAGTTCAGAGACAAGTTTGCATGGTAGATTTCTTTGTCCAAATCTTCTGTAATGTGTACTCACAGTATCAGCCAAAATTATTTTAGAACTGCAAATATGATTGCTGCTTTAATCACATTTCTTAACTGCCCACTGGATTAAAATTATCAATCAGCAACACTGGTGGTTGTATTTTAAACACTTTATTGCTTGGAAATGTGATGAAACAGACCCTTGCAAGACATCTCCTTTTTCTAATCTCCCTTCTGTCCATTCCATTTCATTAACATTTTTCACTATCAGTCCATTTGATTCTTTCTCTAACCTGTATAATATCTATTCAAATTGACTGGTGAAGCACCCCTGCACTGATGTGTTAAGGAATTGTTGCATTTCAAGACATATTTTGCCTTATTTGTCCCACCATTTTGATAAAATCCATGATCGTCATAGCAAATAAATTGTTCTATACATTTTCTGCTATGACAATTTACTAACTTTGGAAAATTGAATTTCACTTTCACACGACTTGAGTTGAGTTAAATGCTAACTGGGCTCACTGTGGGGTTTACCCACTACATCAGCATCCCTACATCATACTTTGTTACCCACAAACCTCACACACTACTTCTAAAGCTCAGGGTACCAATGAAGGGTCCTCAAATCTTTCATGAGAATCTTTAATTGGTTCCACATGTTAAGTGATTAAAACATCCCTTGTATTTTATTGGTTCAAAGCTTTTCAAGAGAAGAAACTGACTCCAAGAGCATAAAAGGACGTCCCAATTTTTTAATTAATCAAGAAAAACATTTTCCAGTCACAATTTTTTTCACAACACAACCTTCAGTTTGCATGGGAAACAGAAGACAAGATGATACAGTCTTCAATGACTGTGCAACACTACACCAAGTGTAATACTAAATACATCAAAAAGTTTGTGTTCAAATTTAATTGTGTGGCTCCACGAAATTTATTGACTGATTCAAAATTAATAAAAAATTTTTGAGAGGATCTCCGGTAAAACTACAGAATACAGGGCCACTTATTTACATCTCATTTAATCACAATGCATCCTTTTGTTTTCTACCTCGTTCTTCAAAGCATGCCGACAAGGTGGACCTGAATGAACTTGAATTTCCTGTGCGGTGGGAAAGGTTGAAACAGGTAGAACTCTTTAATGGTGTTCTGTGTATTCCGAACAACATACACTGTGCGAGAGCCAGTTTCCTTCGTATCTGTTACTGCCTGACTCTTCCTTCAAATTATCTCATAAAAAGAGCTAATGATAATGTTATTAGTAAACCTGTAGAACAAATTGTCGGGTTAAGCCACGAATGTACGAAGCGACCTAGTGAAGGAAGGGCATGGAATAAAATAGTATCACCGGAATTCTGACCAGTAGTAGTTGTTGCAGTAACATGTAACATCAAGGACATCAGCTGTACACATACCTGAAATGTGTATCATTTCCGCTTACAATCGTTATCACTTTCGCACAACTGAACAGAAGTACGTTCAAAATACATCTTAATATCTTGCTCGGCTACTGGTCTTTTCTCTGACTGTCAACCACCTACACGTAGCTAATTTATTGCTTCGAACAACATACAATGTGTGAGAGCCAGTTTTCCTTCGTATCTGTTACCAGAATAGATCCTGAAATGTAAACCTTACTAAGACTGTAGGGTTTCTATTTTTTTTTTTTGTTACATTAAGGCATACATCCAAACCCAGCCACCGACAAGGAGAGAAGATCACACTCGAGGTTGGACAGAGAGCATGAAATTGTCGCCCACAAGGTGTCAGAATCTGCCAAAATCTGCCAGAATCAAGCCGTCAATCAAACCAATATACGCCATGGAGAAGTAACCAAAAGAGACTGGGGTGAAGATTGGACACAAATGTTGGACTCATTGATCGCGGGCTCTCAGAAATCTGACCAATCAGGTGTCTTGACTATGCGTAGGCTAAAAATATATTCTATATATTCGGTGTAGTTGTGAGCGCGAATTTACACAGCGAACATTTGTTGTGAGGTAGACATCTAAATTAGGAAGTCATCACTGAACAAATCAAAATCGGCTGCCCTACTCTTTTCATTATGAATTTTTTGCGAGAACGAGCAAGGTTAAAATGGCTTTATGCAATTCCTTCGGAACTAGAAACGGTATGTGAGTCCTTTGAAATTTCTGACTGTTGAGCGTTCAGCCACCCGGACCAAACCAAACCAGGACAACAGAAAAAATTATTTTCGCAGGAACGAAACTCGTGATACAGCTCCGTTTGTGTAAATTCGCTGTATTTGTGCGCGCATTTTATGTCGCAGCATACTTTGACTTAGCCATTATATGATGTAAGTTTCACACGATTTTACACATATCGGCGGAAATCATGTTTTTTTTCGCTAAACTACTACTTTCATTTGACGTAAGTTTCACATTACACTACTTCACCATTAAGAGCGGTTCTGTCATTTACATAGCTAGAAAATCGCATGGTGTTAAGTTAAATTCTAATAGTTGTACGTTTTGACATAAAATCGTCAATCAAACAACACTCCCGGACATATCATAGTTTAACCATAATATTTACTGGGCCATTGTCGCTAGGCCTCACTTGAAGTAATAACAAAGTCTTATTTCACTTTGTAGACGTAATTCGCATTGCTTCAGAGAATCAGGATGTTGTCGACAGAAACCTAATTTCGTCACTCTCAAGACTTTGATATCCATTATTTTACGAACAGAGCATTCAATAGCATATTCAGCTCTCATTTTGAGCTCCAAAGGTCTAACACGTTGGGAAAGGAACAGAAAATCTGACTTGAAAATTTTGAAAGTGGGTCACTTCGACTTGAGTTTGTTCATTTGTTGAAAATCAATTTGATATTACTATAGTGATGTTACTATGATGGGGAGGTAGGGGAAAAGCATCTCACAGGCAAGATAATTGTGTTGCACTGGTGTCGATGTGTTTACTTACAGAGGAGGTGTTAGGAAAGCTTGATCAAAATGTGATGACAATTTTAAAAATAAGGAAATAACTTATCAACTATTACTAATAACTATTCTAAATGACACCCAACAAATGGAAAAAAATATATAAAACACATAATTTGTCATCTTGTGCAAAACCTGTTTTTGCAGTATTTTTGGCTGTACAAGTGAGGGTGGTTGGTTAAAACTAGCCTCAATGCTGTCATATTGATAATAACTTACATAACCTTGTTCTGAGGATCAGTTTTGCTTGTTGTTTTAAGATTTTAACATGCAACATTGATTTTGTTTAAAACTTATCAAATTCGAATGGAATTGATGTGGAAAAATTATTTTCCTTCAAGTTTTTAACACTTTTTGCAGATTTCAAACCCAATTATCTCAGAATTTTGTGTGGGTGCACCAGTTTTTTTTTTTTTT